CCTTTTAATAGACGCATGTAACAGGTTTTATACTTCCTGTGAGTATAATCCAATCAATCTTATTTTCATACTGTATATCCGATGTGTAATTTGATAAATTGTGTTGTATGTGGTGCTCGCATCTCAGAGAAGACTCTGACTGCAACATGCATCTTTGTAAAGAGAGAAACGGACAGAAAAAGTCTCTAACTCTGCCTGTCAGCTCGCTCTGCTCCGTTAAAACTGAATTTTCCATACAGAATTGAATACGAGTGCACTCCAGATTTAGCTGCAGCCAGCTGACCGTGTGCTTCTCCCTATACCGCAGTTCTGTGTCCATGCATGCAGCAAACTGAAAGCACTGTCTGTTGGAGCGTCTACATGAAAAGAGAAGGAATACATTGCTGGTAGTATTGTCTTCAGAGTTGTTAAACACCTCAGTGCACTGAAGGAAGCCATCTGACTGTGTGAGGGGCAAGATCGTTGATGTCTGCAGGCAGAGTAGGAGCTCTCCTGTCTGACTGGTCCACCAATAGCAGAGAAGATGACCCCTTGAGTTATCAAGCACGTAAAGTTTGGTTCAGATGTGAGCATGTACACTGAAGTTACAACAACTTCCTGTGTCATGGCGAAGACTTGACAAGATACACGTACTACAGAAAATTCGTGCACTTAGGTGAAACGTGCGGCGGGGGCTGCTTCGTTAAAAGTCACTTCCTGTTGCCAGCAGGTGGCGCTATGACTGTGGGTGAATGTCGGCATGTACATGTGTTCAGGGCGGGACTCTCATCTTACATGTACACTTTGGTCCAGATGTGAGCATGTACACTGAAGTTACAACAACTTCCTGTGTCATGGCGAAGAGTTGATCTTTGACGCCACGCCACGGACACGCCCATTGACGAAAACTCGCAAATAGCACAACTTTTCATCTTCAATGCCTTTAGAAGGCACAGCAGAAATTTGAGGTCGGTCGGACTAAATCCCTAGGAGGAGTTCGTTAAAGTACGAAGTGTGTAAATCATCCAAAATTTGACGTAAAATTCAAAATGGCCGACTTCCTGTTGGTTTTAGGGCATCGCTCCAAGAGGCTTTTTTGTGCGTCTGGACAAGATACACGTACCACAGAAAATTCGTGCACGTAGGTGAAACGTGCGGCGGGGGCTGCTTCGTTAAAAGTCACTTCCTGTTGCCAGCAGGTGGCGCTATGACTGTGGGTGAATGTCGGCATGTACATGTGTTCAGGGCGGGACTCTCATCCTACATGTACAGTTTGGTTCAGATGTGAGCATGTACACTGAAGTTACAACAACTTCCTGTTTCATGGCGAATCATCGTCATCATTTCGTGCATGTAGGTTGAACGTGAACAAGGGGCTAATTTTTTCCAATTTTCTAGGTGGCGCTAGCGAATCATTTTGCCACGCCCATGCGCGAAACCCATGAAATATGAAATTTTTCACCAGTTCTGACATGTGTGCAAAGTTTGGTGAGTTTTCAAGTATGCTCAGGTCACCAAAATGGAGCTTACTTTGCAGAAAAAAAAAAAAATCTTTACAAATTCAATAGGGACCTCGCATGATCGTGCACGGGCCTTAAAAAAAAAAAAAATAATCTTTACAAATTCAATAGGGACCTCGCACGGTCGTGCTCGGGCCCTAACTATATGTTCTGTTTGTATTTACAGCTGCTGGAAGCAAGGCGGGGTCTGTCACCAGTACTGGTGGCAGACAAAGTGGCGTTCTGGAAAGGCGTCACTAATGATCTGATGTCTGACGAGGAAGACAGCAGCTTTAAGGGGGTATCGGTGTGGATTGTGCAACCCCCAAGCTTCTGCAGGCAGGAGCTCACCAATACTGCAGATTTAAAAATCTGCTTGTAAGGCTAATCCAAAGTATAAAGCATTGCATCACAGATGCCTAAACAAGCATGGGTGGCAAAAATTACACTTATCTACATTTATATTTTTCATCTACATTTACATCAGACCCCATATTATGATGGAGAAACTACTGCAGTAAATGGTCACATCATCAGATGGGTAGAGTCCTTTTTGACTGACCAAGTACAGTGTGTCAGAGTAAATGAGGCAGTGTCTTCTCCTATTATTACTAACACAGGGGGCTCCACAAGGGAGCACTATTTCCCCAGTCTTATTTCCCCTTTATACAAATGAATGTAGAAGCAACACACCTGAGTATGTTACTATTAAATTTGCTGACAATACAGCATATTATGATTAAAGAATACGAGGAAACAGCTACTAGGAGTGGGTTGAGCAATTTGTGGGTTGGTGTAGGGCAAGTTTTCTTCTATTGAACACAAAGAAAACAAAATAAATCATTTTTGACTTCAGAAGTGTTAACAACACCCACCAACCACGTACTATGGATGGAGAGAGTACTGAAATGGTAGATGATAATAAATACTTAGAAACAATTATTGATGCTAAACTGTCATGGAATTTTAATACAGATGTTGTTTATAAGAATGGGTCGTACTGTCTATATTTTATGCGTAAACTGAGACTTTTTAATGTGTCCTCTTCTATGGCTTCTTTGTGGAAAGCATACTAACTTTTTGTTCCATTGTAGCATCCTGGTATTTCTCATTGTCAGTGAATAATAAAAATAAACTGCAAAGATAGTTAATATGTCCAGTAAGATTGCCAGAGAACAGCAAACTAGCATGACAATGACCTGCGACTCCCCATTGGTGAGGAAGGGGCAGGCGATTATTAGAGATGTATCACATCCCCAATTTGGCGAGGATGAGCTGTTACCATCAGGTATAGGGTGCAATCCCTCAGAAACCAACCGGGCCTGCAGGTCATTTGTGCCTACTAGTATTGGATTTCTTAACAAGCAATGCGATAATAAAACTGAGCTGAATCTCTGGGTGACAGGGAGCTGCACCTTAGTATAACTTGTATAGCACTTGGGAGATGTTTGTGTTGGGAAAGCAGTTGTCTGATTGATAGTCTGTTGATGTTGTTGGTCTGATGTTTGCTGTATGACTCTATGAATTTTTGAAAACGCTAATATCTATCTATCTATCTAAGTGGGTGGACCAGAAACTGAGAAATGTATCTAATTACACTGAATTTAAAAAGTTGTCAGTTGTTTTAATGAAATTGGGATTTTACATTGTACAGTTCAAGAGTTGGCTGTTCACTTTCTTTGGTGAGTAGTTTTAAGACTGTTGTTCGCTAGACAAAATTTTCAGCCCTGTTAAAATGACAGCTAATGTGAATTGCAGATAGCACAGTCAAATTCTTCCCATATTTGATCACATTTTACAACAGTAACCTGGAATAAAACTAGCAGATTCACAATACTTCTATTAAAACCTCCACTATGCGTGTAGTTTCTATTATCAAAACAATGTCAGTGACAGTTCCAACATGCAGCATGCATAATAATACTGGGGAGAAAGGTCATGTCTGTCATATTCAGGGGTCCACTGCCACAGGTCTGTAATCCTGATGAATATTTGATTTGGCTTCACCCAGGCAGCAGTGCTGTCCCCTCATCAGTCTCATGAAAGTCAGCCGGTCATTCTGGGCCAAGCCGCTGACAGAAGCTGATATACACTTCAGAGGTGTTGAGGATACCCCTGACCACTGAGGGTTATGATGTGGGGAAAGGGAATAAATGATGACGATATCAAAGGGAGGCCTGCCTTCTGTGAAGCTCTCCGCCTGCGTCATCCTCTGGCTCTGACTCCACTGTTCAGTCCAGCTGCAGGTCTGATTTCACTGACATTCTGATGAGAAACATGTCCATTTGAAATGAACTTGACCTTGATATCACAGGGAATCCTAGTGAAATTTTAAAAGCTTTAGCATCCATTTCCAGCTTTAATCATTATCTTAATTTAAATGTAGACTGTTGAAGGGAGAGGATATCATGTCATTTCTTTCAGACCAAATTAAACTTATATGTGAATTGCATACATTTACACTAAGAAAACCAGAAGTTAAATGGTCTTGGAAAGACTTAGAGGTGGAAAAAATGTTTCAATAATAAAATGAAATGTTCAAGTGGGCCACTGAGCCTCCTAATGTCTTGGAACAGAAAAGAAAATCCAAGTTGTATAATTGTGCATGACACACCCAGGATCCTGTATATGCATTCTTTATGGGCACCTCCCAGCATCCATGGATATTCATTGTACCTTTGGGGTGGGGCTCTTCACATGAGGGCCCTGTATACAGTTCACCTGAATGTTAAGAAAGGTTGTCCTCACAAAGAAAACAACAGCATTGGCTGTTTGTTAAAACATTTCAAATGACATTTCCTCTTTCCTGTAAAGGGATCGCTTGTGGTCGTGCAAATATGGTGCTGAGATGACTGTGTGTGACTTTCGTGGACTTGATAGTCAAACATGAGCTGCAGGCAACTGCAGGGGCCGGGTATAAAAACCGCGCTGTCAAGTTGGACACATTCTGCATGAGCTGACTGTGAGCTTAGAACAATGACTGATCAAAAGGTTGTTTCAACTTTGTGTAGCCAGAGAAAAGCACATGCTCCTGACTCAGTGACTGCAGCCGCCTTTCTCCCATGAGGTTTTAATGTCATATGACATGGTGTTTTGCAAAGCCGCTAAGGTCAGACAAAATGTCTAAGTAGCATGCCTTATGTTAAGTCCAACATGCATCATGTTAAGTTAGCCCTGCGCCACATGCAGTCAAACGCACATAATAACTGTTGTCTCTCAGAATCAAAACAGAAAGTAGAGTGACATTATACATTCCACACAAAAGGATTTATTTTGTCACCTTGATCAAATGTGTGGGTTACCTATTGAATATTTTTCTTACACAATATCAAATAAATCTGTCCATAATTTCTTCTCTTGTTTTTTTATTTACATCATAGTGAAGTATTCCACGCTCTATGCCAGAGCTGCCACAACAGAGCAGCTGGTTAAGGGTGATGGAGAGAATGCGACAATCTATTGGCTGCAGGCTTAGTAAATTTCAGTGGTATAGTCCAATGGCTAGCTAGAGCGAGAGAAAGAGAGAGAGAGACCTGGTTTCTCCATCACTAATCTCAGTCCTGGCAATGCACTCACTCTATGAGAGCAATTAGATTCAGAAACGTTTCCAGTGCCTCTGCAATGAGTCATTGAAACATCTTCTGTGGTGATAAAGCCGCATCTCTTTTCTCCCCTTCCACACACACACACACACACTCACACACTAACACAGGAGGTGTAGTTGGGCTGTCGTCAGTGCATCGGGACTGCGCTTCTTACTTTGGATTTGCAGAGCAGGAGGCTGGACGTGGACTTTATTGTGTTTTTCTGTGTATTAGCTGAAGTCGGGACTTACATAAAGGAGTCAGACGGTGGAGATACAGGCGGAGGTAAGTGAGCTGCCGGCTAGATGTGATGCTGAGCCTTAAACCTTTTCTTCCAGCAGCAGCTTTAATTTATAGTCGTATGGCTGAATTTCTGTGCTTTTTAGGTGATGCCCCCCCCCCCTTCTACTGCTTGTCCGGACGCGTTTCAGTCTTCCATAGCATAATCCACAGGGTATTCTTCCAGAGACGTTTACTGTTCACGTCAACTGGATGAAAATCATTTGTTACAATCATACCTGCCAAGAGTAATCTTAGCAAACAGGCACTTACGGGGGGGTTTCTAAAAAGCCCGTAGCAGCAGCGGAGGCTCATTCTTACGCACTTTCACCAGACTCCCGGTTTTTCATTTGTAAATGGTGATGAAAGAATGGATGATAAAACAACAGCCAGCAGTGAATATGCTGATCACAAGAGGCCAAATCACACATCACGCTGTTTATTATTTGTGCAAATCAGTGCATGAGCGTTGACATATGATGTGCTGACGCTGTGATGGTGCGTTACTTAAAGTCGGTCCCAAAGCAACAGCTCGGCTAACTTTAATGCTACAGGACTGACAAGAAAGGCGGATGTGTTGTTACAGCACAAAGCGCTTTCCGTCAAGATCGCGGAACGTTTAAACCAGTTTCACACCTGCGTTTCCCACTGGTGAACGAGGTGCAGCAGAGACGTGCGTCTCCCAGCAGCCACAAGATGGTGGTGTGGATATCTGGATGTGGATTTTTTGGGAAAAAGAAAACAGGGGGGCTTGCGTTGGGTTTGTGCCTTGCATGAATTTTTAGGGCTACATGGCAGCTAATGCTGTGATTTTCCAACACATTTTCAGCTTGTATTCACACTGGGTGGCATTCAGACTGGCTCTACGGAGAGGTGAATGGGCTGCAGATTCACACAGGCTGCTGGTTTAACAGGAGATGACCTTGTGAGTGTTGTATTGCTTTATCTGCTCCAAGATTAAATGATTATAAAGTCCAGAGTAGCTTTTAGGTCCTTGAACAAAAAGGGGCCGACACAGTCATCTGCCAATAATGTAGTGTGTGTGTTTACCTCTTTTGCATTTCAAACCTGCTCAGGTCTGCACTGATAATAAATGAATCTCTAGAGGAATATTTCTAAAAAAAAAGTGTAGTCAGGTGAACACTTTCACACCAGAGTGCCAGTACGAGGAAACATTTGAAGACTCTGGTAATTGTCACTGAGTTGTTCTTTGACAGTGATTGAGAGACATGTCCAACTTTTAGGAATCTGCATGTTATTGGAAAAAACATTTGTTCATATAGGCCTATTGCAGCTCTGCATCCAACCAGTCATCCTCTTTGAACCCTCCCCCCTCCCAGCTTGTGATTGTTCTGCAGGATTTTTGTCCATATTCAACAAACTGCACAGTTCATCTAAAATGAAAGTCATGTTATTCAAAATGAATGTCAAATATTTACAACATGGACACATCGCTCCATAATCCACTCGTCCTACATGATCCAAATGATATCAAGGATTCCTGGAAACAATGTGTGAGGGGACAAATGCAGGAAATTGGTTTTATTCTTTTGTATGAGAACAATCTTTGGTAAAATCACTTTTTTTCATTTTTAATTCCATGGATGTTAGTACTGACCCTAGGTCTCCCTGTTGCCAAAAGGAAGTTAGTCAATATAGAAATGACAAACTGGAGCTAAATCTAGCCAAAATGTTGGCATCTGCTTCCATAATGTCATGATTTCCGCTGTAGGCCTGCATCATACTGACAAGACAGTGATAACATGCGGATATTAGCAGCTGTTTGCTGATCTGTCCAAACCATATACATACAAACACACAAATTGTATAAAAAACAGAGAGCTGTTGTTTTGCCATGCTGCTCTATCTACAATTAATACATTTTATTTAGTGTAAGCTGAGCTCCTGGAGCTCTGAAGGAGGGATTATTCCTCTGTTGTGTGTATGGTATATTTGCTACCAACCACCTAAGACAGTGGGCAGCAAAATGAATGTGATAGATCTGTTAACTATATAATTCACCTTTCTAATTGTATGCTGTATATAAAAGACTGATGTGTATCAGGTATACTTTTTTTTAAAGGAAATGTCTCAGTATAATTTTTATATTATCAGTAGCATGTGAATGACATTTGCAGTTCACTTCAGGCCTATGTTTGTTTGACTTGCTCATACTCATACATATCCACAGTGTCAGTGGTGTGCACTCTTAAGGGGCAGGGCCACAGCAGCCTGTCCAAACCTGGCCATGGTTTGGCTTATGGTAATTTTGCTTCAATGTTGGGACACAAACTGTTTTCCATAGACTTAAAGATTCTTAACGCGGGGCTACACTTCCTACCTCTACCTGTGCGTGATGGCTACCTTGCTGCTGTCGCGGCACACACCACTCATGTGGTGTCCGCACAGACCTGCTGCTGCTGCCAGACCTGTCTTTCTACACTGAGTTTGCCTTTGATAATTGCCAACAATAATATAATGTTTAATTTCAAGGATATTACAGTTTTGACAGAAAGAAGTTAATATGTCGGTGCTTAGTTTAAAAAAATAAAAATATAAACAAATAAAAAATATATACAGCACAGTGTCTTTGACGTATTGTACAGATATAGACATTGAAACTGTAGTGAAAGGTGTCCTGTTGCTGGTATAATGTCAGTAAGACTGAACAGATCACTTTTTGCTGAGAAACATGTGCATCACGCAGAATAAATAGGAAATCCATTGAATCCACTTATCAGGTTTTCCTCAATCTTGTTCTTTTACATAGTTATGTGCAGTAGAAAACATATCTGATTATGTGGAAATCAAAAATATGGCAATTGGTTGTCTCCACGTGGTTGCTCCTGCACATCAGAGGATTTCTGCATGAAGTTTAACCATCCTCAATGTACTCACATTGTACCACTGGGTGACTAATTGCGTTGCGATAGGCAAGACATACTGTGTCCTGGTTAATTAAAGGATTCCATAAAAGGCCACTTCACTACTTCTATTTATATAATGAGACATTAAAGAGACCCTTATTGTTGTTATATAGTGTTCAAAAGCAGCCCAAATCAGTCAGCTGGCAGTGAATGTTAAAATCATCAGACAAAACTCCAAAGTGAGATTCTTCCTGTTTACCCCAAGCAATCTGTGGTGTGGTGCAGTGAGCTGCAGGAAAATTTACTTGACTTGGCTAACTAAGGAGGTTTTAGATGCTCAGCAGTACGATAGCAAACTTTTAATGCATATATCTATTGCTCAGTCAAAAACAAAAGAAATCATACATGCTTGAGATAATGCAATAATAGGAGCAATAAAGAGGCAGAAGTGGAATACAGAAGCCTTGATCCCCACACATTTTTTAAGCGATTCCAACAGTTCTGGTGTTGTGCTCCTCGTTTGCAGGTTGGAAAAATAACCGAGCCGATCAGTTTGTAGGTGGGATTAAGAACGGGAAATCATATATCTCATAATACGGTTAGAAAAGTATTCAAATGGCTGCTGACACTTATTTGTGAGAACTTGGAGAAGATTTAAAGTTGTAGGCATGCAGGCCTTTTTTATTTGTGGGAGACACCAGTCTGGTAAAGGACATTTAAAAAAGGAGAAGCATTGCACCAATTGCAAGGTGGCTCAGTGGTTTGAAATGTGGAATCCAGAACTGGCAGGTTGGGGCTCATTGGTGTGGAGAATGTTAATTTAATCACTAAGCTAGTGTATTTCCACTCCTATAATATTCATTTTTGCAAGAGAGTTTTTGAGTCTCTTTGTTTTCCATTCTGTTGATTTCCAGACATACACAAAATGTCTTACCCTGCAGAATGCTGGAGTGCATTCAACTGATTTAGCTCAGGCTGTACAATGATTTGTGGCCTTGGCAATAATTTGCAATAGGTTTAAAGAATCTGACCCCCATCATGGTCCAAATGATGTTTCAGACGCGTTTCTGTCCTGACACACGTGCAGTGCACAAAAATGCGAAAACATCCACACAAACACAACACATGTATGATCAGCTGCAGTGGCTTAATATAGGCTTAGTATTTTATACTAAGGACAGGGTGCCTCCGAGAGGATCATTTTATAATGATTGAAATGCAAATGACAAAGAGCGTCTTCATTGGTATTCATAAGACTTCTCTCCCATAATCATTAAGAGTGAGAACAATGTTCGCAATCTCCTGTGTGCCTATGCCAAGGAGAGCCACTGAGCACGCTCTGCATTCAGCTTGAGCCGTCTGAAGGACAGTTTATCATAAAATAACACATTATTACAAATACTCTAGACTGTGCCAATTTATCACACAAACATTTACAAGCATATAACCTCAATGAACAATGAGCAACAATTTCACCTGTGAAAATGGTATTTGTATTCACCCCTTCCAATGTTTGATTATTTCTGGCTGCAATGTGAGGCGACTGCAAACACAGCTGCTAAAATTCTTCATATAGTAGTAAATTTCATCATTATATAACCGCTCATGTAGGCAAACAGCCAGTGACGAACAGCTTGTGGTAGGCTGCGAACACCAGACAAAATGATGTGCTCAAGGCAATATTTCTCCTTTTGCTACAATATCTTTCTAGGATCTGAAGTAACTACTTCAAGAAAATCAGTTTTCTTAATAATGTTCAAATGTATATAATGTCATCAGTGCATATAGGGGAAGCTATGGGGTAAATGTGAAGATGTATTATGTTTTATTCTTAAATCAGAATCAGAATCAGAAGGAGCTTTATTGCCAAGTTTTACACATACGAGGAATTTGCTTTGATGATAAGGTGCTACACATAGACAAACATACAATTGACATAAATAAATGTAGAAATATATAAATGTGGAATAGACAATGCAAGTTATATAAGAATAATAAAAAGAATAGAGAAAAATAATTTGCAGAGAAAGAACATTGCAGATATTTACATGTGCATTATTCCGGGTTTGTGTTGTACCACAACGGAAGAGAATATTGTGTACATAAATATATAAATTGACAATATAAAAATGTACAACA